AAGAAAAAAATTGATTTATTTCAACTGTTAAATTTGATCATTTTCATATGGAGCTCTTCTTCTAAAGGAGAAAAATATTGTCTAAAATGGCCACGACCCCCCTCCCCCTCGCCCTCTTAGATATAAGCAGGGTTGCGCATACAAAGTGCTCACTCAGAAAAATAAAGAAATTAAGATTTCTTGCAGTGACATAGCATCGTTTTTGAAAGGGGAAAGGGGGCAGCCACAGAAAAAAAACTTACCTGAAAAAGTTGACAAGTAAAAATTGCCCTAACAAGAAAACATTATTTTGGGGAGGGGGGGGGGGGTCTTTTTAAAGTTCCAACTTCTTTCAGTACAATTTTCCCCGATATAATACTACATGTACATTGCCCTTATTTCACTTTACTGTATCACAAAGCGGTGGGAAGGGGCAACCGGCCTTTCAATGCAAATTTTAAACAATAATATTGCTACGTGCCTGTTTTAGTAATATGCATATCTATACATTGTGTCCTAATTATCTACAAAGTTTCATGAAATTTTATGCAGCTATTTAAGAATAACTATGCTTATAAAAAAATAAAGAAATAAAAAATGGACTAACGGACTAACTGACGTGCCAAAGACATTATACCACTCGCAACTTGTTGGTATAAAAGTAATTTATAATTTCTCTCTACATTTAAACACTCAGACTTTCTGGACGATATCCTAAATAGCCATTTACTCTTGATCATACCATTTTAAGCCCGAAATTAATAAGGCTTTGAAAATATGCAGGATCACGGTTAGAATAAATATATCATATTGAATAAAATCTTTATCCTTCCTAGTCTATAATTTATGAATTGTAATAAACAGTTTTGCAGATAAATATGAAATAAACAATGTAAAATCCCAAGTTCGAATCGGGCAGAGGTGATAAACTTGCTTGATTTGAATTTTCTGCAATCCAAGAGACAATTCAAATCAAGCGAGTTTATCGCCTGTAGAAACATATATAAAGGGCGTAGTAGAAGGTTGATAAAAAAACATATTGATTAAAAAAATGTGTTTAGAATTAGGGATAGACCAATGCAGGAAAGTGTGAAAGTTCGCAAAAGTGCGTTCAAATCTTGCGCCGTAGATTGCCTATTTTTGCATTTAATATATGATCAAAGACTAAAATACAAAACCATAAAGCTACAGTTCTGCAGCTACGTTCTGAGTATCTCGTACGTACGACATATTATCTCGTTCGTACAACTTATTATGTCGTACGTACGACTTAGTATCTCGTTCGTACGACTTATTATGTCGTACGTACGACTTAGTATCTCGTTCGTACGACTTATTATGTCGTACGCACGACTTATTATGCCGTACGTACGACTTAGTATGTCGTACGTACGACATAGTATCTCGTTCGTACGACTTAGTATCTCGTTTGTACGACTTAGTATCTCGTTCGTACGACTTAGCATCTCGTACGTACGACTTATTTTGTCGTATGTACGACTTATTATCTCGTTCGTACGACTTATTATGTCGTACGTACGACTTACTATGTCGTACGTACGACATAGTATCTCGTTCGTACGACTTGTATGTCGTACGACATAATAAGTCGTACGAACGACATAATATTATGTCGTACGTAAGACATAGTATCTCGTTCGTACGACTTAGTATATCGTACGTACGACTTATTATCTCGTACGAACGACTTATTATCTCGTTCGTACGACTTATTATCTCGTACGTACGACTTATTATGTCGTTCGTACGACTTATTATGTCGTTCGTACGACTTATTATGTCGTTCGTACGACTTATTATGTCGTTCGTACGACTTATTATGTCGTACGTACGACTTATTATGTCGTACGTACGACTTATTATGTCGTACGTACGACTTATTATGTCGTACGTACGACTTACAATATTTTATTATCAAGTGGCAGCAATACGCTTCCGTAGAAAACAGAGAGGGATAACTATAAAAATTTGGTAAAACTTTTGTTTTTCACAATTAAATTCAATGAAAAACGAAAAATACTTTTACCCCCCCCCCCCCCGTGACACAAAAATTCTTTTTTACAGGTAATATGGACTGTTTTTTTAAAATTCAAACCAAAGCTTTTTGTGTTTCAAGGTGGGGGGGGGGGATTATGTTTATACTTTATAGACAAAAATCGACAAAAAACAATATTATCAAAGATATGTTTTTAGACAAAAATAAGCCAAAAAAAAAAAACCAAAAAAAACAAAAACAAAATTATCACGGATAATTCAATTAATGCCGCTATGAGAAATCTATTAAATGTTACACCTTCGGATAGTTACCATGGTTACACACAGACAGCATGTATAAATTTACTACCTGGAACTTTGACCTGTTGACCTTAAATTCAATAGGGGTCTTCCATAGGCCATAGGAAGTGTTATGTAAAATTTCATTGCAAAAACCCAAAGGGTTCTCGAGATATCGCGCGGAAACGAAAGTGTTATAACAGACAAAATTTGCGGATTTATGACCTTGACCATTGACGTTTTGATCTCAAAATCAATAGTGTTTTTTTTAGTCCATAGGAGTTGCTTTGCAAAATTTCATTGCCAAAGATCAAAGGGTTCTCGAGATATCAAGCGGGGGACAATATGGTGATCTTTCAATGGAGAATATCTTCAACCCCCCCCCTCCCCCGGCCTTTTTTTCAACAGTTGGAAAAAGGGATAATTCACTATTAAGCGCTGGTATTAAAACAATTCATCAATGACCATTGAACTGTTCTTTGTATAAAACCGATTTTATGGCCAAATTGCCATTAATTTGAACAAAATAAGTGCAAAATGTAGGCGTGCATATTTCTTCCTTCACTTTGAAATTAGTTTTTTAAGGTCAGACGAGACGTTCCTCAATATCTGTCTTGTATATCTTCGTAATGTATGAATAATATTCAAAATTTTAATAACATTCTGATTTCTAAACCAGTTTCTAGAGGTTTTTAAAAAATCCAAACACTTTCACATTTGAAATAGGAAAAATAATTTTCTTCCCAAAAGGATTATATAAGGAAAACTACCCCTGGTATCTTGCAGAAATGCCTGGTAAGGTACCTCTTTTTTGTGGGTAAACATGTTTAAGTAGCAATACTTCAATGATAAAATCTTTGAAAATTTTATCTCCTATTAAGGAACGTCTCGTCTGTCCTTAAGGAAAAAGGCTGAAGCCCTTATGTATGACAAACAAAAGCTGAACATTATAGGAAATATAGAAAATAGCAAACGTTTAGCTTCTTATGACTAATTAGTTCACACATTTATTGAAGACATGCTTGAAATTTATCAAAGCATAAAGAAAACTGAAATCGACCTCCTTCGTAGTGTATACGTACAGTAAAGTAGCGACAACGGACCGATGACAACGGACTGAATTTTCGTATCTTGGTATGACAACGGACATAAATTGTAATAAATCAAAGTTTTCAGTTTGAAGTTGTTTTATTTTTTTCTGTAAAGGCTAGAACATGTCTTGATACTGACTGCATCAATTGGTTTAAACGGCTGAAATTCATACAACACCAAAAGGGATATCAGTCCTGTTCCCCATTGCAATTTCAGACATTGGTTGAAATTATTTAACTTAAAAAATGAAAAACTGCTCACGACCTGTCTTCTCAAGTAATGACACCGGACAGTTTTTGTCATAATCTCACCTGTAAATTCATGACAACGAGCCATTTTTAGTGCTTAACTTTAAAGGTTTCTGACAACGGTACTGTCTTGGAACTTAACGTGTTCCTGGCCGTGATATGGACACGCCTCTGCTTAGCAGGGGAAAGCTGCTGTTTTGTCCACGAGACCTCCATTTATAAGGTCTCTTCCGAAGAACCGGTCTCCATGCCCCACAGTTGGATTAGAACCCGCGATGCAAGCATCTTCTCCTTACATCGCTACTCCAGAGCAGACACTATAACCAATGCGCTACGATGGCGACTAGTTTTGTGTGGAAAGTTTTCCTGGCGTTCATCCTCTTTTAAAAGGATCTTGAATAACTTAAGATCGTTGCTAAGGAAGAAGTTTTTTGTGCATACGATTTTATGCTACTGCATCAATTTATATGCTACAGGATCATTCTATATGCTACAGCATAGTCTCAAGCCACAGATCGAAGTCCGCATATTGCCCTCGTATACCCGTGACCGCTCGAATCAATTCCATAAATTGTCGTTATTTTGAATATTTACGCCTATATGCTGTGAGTTCATGTTCAGCCAATGCTGTTTCCATCTTTATTTGAAATCAACAGTTGACATATTCAGTAAACAAAGCATATGTCGTAAACAGCTATTACGTATTCAAAGATCGCGTCAGAGTATATTTTCCGACTTTGCTTTACTCACATTGGTTATTGTTTGATGTGTTTTTCATTTTTGGAGGAGGGGTGATAAACAAATCCAACACATTTTACTGTAAAAGCCTATTATCTTATCATTCTGTATTGAAAAACCTTAATATATTACAGACAATGTCACAGACAGAATGGATAACTTGCTACAACTTAATACCATCACCAACAGTCAATATCGGCTTCACACATTTAAATATAATTGACACCCCTGGATTTGGAGACGTACGAGGCATTGAAAGAGATAAAAAAAATCGTCTCACAAATAAAGCAGTTTTTTTCTACAAAATGCGATAAAGGCGGTATTGAATGCATTAATGCAGTTTGCTTTGTAACACAAGCACCGCTAGCCCGCCTTACACCAACTCAGAGGTATATATTTGACTCAATACTATCAGTGTTTGGAAATGATATAAAAGAAAATATCTTGGTTCTAGTAACATTTGCTGATGGCAAAACTCCGCCAGTAATTGAGGCACTTGATTCCGCAGGGGTTCCATATAAGGGGTTTTTTCCATTCAATAACTCAGCTTTATTTGAAGGCAATACAGACGAAGAAGGGTCGATTAGGAAATTATTTTGGAATATGGGAACGCAAAGTTACAGGGCCTTTTTTCAAAAATTAGCTTCGATGAAATCAGAAAGTTTAAATCTTTCCAAGGAGGTATTGGAAGAAAGAGAGAAGCTCGAATTAAATTTAAATACCCTGCTTCCAGCTATTGACATTGGTCTGAATAAGCTTGAAGAAATTCGTCAGCATGAAGTTTTTGTGAGAAAACATGAAGCTGATATAGAAGCTGGGAAGGATTTTAAAACGACAGCAACAAGAATCCGTGACAGAAAGGAAATACTTCCTCCCGGAGAGCATGTAACCAACTGCATCCATTGTCATTTTACATGCCATTATCCATGTTATATAGCTAGAGATCATGAAAAGATATCATGTGCCGCAATGAATAGGGGAATTTGCAAATTTTGTCCTCAGAATTGCAATTGGCAAAATCATGTAAACAATGGTTATCGTCTTATTCAGTACACAGAAACATACACTGTTACTTCTAAAGAACTTAAAGAACTTTACATGAAAGGTAAGAAACAAAAGAAAAAGACACTTACCTTCCTTTCGTGTATTAAAGACGAATTCAGACTGATCGAATCAAATGTCGCTTCAAAAATAACAACAATAAGAAAAAGTCTTAACAGGCTAAATGAGATAGCACTGAAACCTGACCCAATTACTGACGTCCAATACATTGATCTACTGATTGAATCAGAAAAAAAACAGGTTAAAGAAGGCTTCCATGGAAGGATCCATGCTCTTGAAAAACTTAAGAAACATGCTGAGATAACAAAGGAAGTGGTAGCAAGTCATTTTAAACCTTTTGATCGGTAGGTAAACATTATTCTAACCCTTTCTTTACTGCATTAGTCAATATGTCCGAAAGCGCCTTAAAAACCCACTTTCATTTCATTTTTAATATCTCTTTTGATTTTGATCACGATTTGATGGGTGAAATATGTCCACAATAACTTGTAGTAGTTTACAATAAATATGAACTTGCAATATAATGCGGATTTCTGTATTGATATGACATCCTTGATCCCTTAAGAACAGAAATGTCAGGGTCAATAAAAATGCTATTCGTACATAAATCCAAGAATGATTGTCCATGTTGTGTGTGTGTATGTGAGGGCGTGTGTGTGTGTGACGGAAGATTGATATAAAATAATTCCTTGTACGTTTTAATCATTATTGTAGTTTATTTCGAAGGTAGTAGAAATAGCGCTGAAAGTTCATTTTTCATTGTGGCATCATTATTTTCAATTTAAAAAAATCAGTACAATACGCCGTTTTGTATATATTCCTGTGATGAAAAATACGTTTTTTTAGTTACATGTATGCTACTTTTTCGTACAGGATCTACTCGCAAACAACATGTATTATTCAGAAAAATTATGTTGCTCCGAAGCCCTGTATTGGAGTTTAAATCACGAAAATGTATTTTCTCCTTTCCAATATCATTAAAAGCTGCCAAAACAAACTTTAATTTCTCATATTACTAGTATCTATAGCTCGCAATAATGTTAATTCAAAGCCTCTGAAGCCCTTTAGTGCTATTTTCTTAATTCCATGTTTCGCGGTTTCCAAATAAAATTCAATTTTTCTATAGAAATTATTATCACATTGTACTTAAAAAATATTCTAAAGGAATTAATTATTTTTTTCACGAATTTTATTCTGAACGTTTACTTGATTCATGTAACTTGTAAATTGGAAGACGTTCATCTTCTAATTGAGATTTTAGTACGTAAAATACGAGGGGCATTTTAAAAGTTCTGGCAACTGTTTAATAAAAAATGAACCGTTTTTCGGAAATCATTGACTTTGATATCATTGGAAAGATCAGAAAAATATATAAATATTGTGACGTCACTTTATAATTTTTATGACGTAATAACTCAGAAAATGACGTCAGAATATAGAATGTTCAGCATACTGACCATTAAATGACGTAACAAAAGACACAATTTTGATCAAATTAAAATTTTAAAGACAATTTTGATCATTACTTGGATGCAAGCTAACGGACGCAAATGCCAGTTGGTGGAATGTTTACATAGACTCAATCTATCATATGGTGTACTATTTCGGATATCTTCTTGTTCTGAAATGGTTAAGCGAGTGTCAAACTAAGCATGTTTTTATCGAATCTCGTTTAAACTATTGCGTAAAAGAAACCTTACTGTGAGAAAAAGACAAAGTTGACGATCAAAGAAGTACAGGCGATCGTGTTACAAAATTTGTTGGCATAAATTCGTCAGGTGTTTTAACCAGATTTGTGGGATTGATGAAGGTTCAAGAGAAGTTAAGTTAAGTGTAACCCATATTTTCTCGTACAATCCAAAATGGCGGCAGCGCAGTTGTAACCCTACCGTACCTCCATATATTCTCAAATTTTAATGCATGGAAAATAAATAAGATTTTACATATCTGTGTAACTTATATACATTTTTTGGACTCAAAAGTCAAAAGCAGTAGTGAGTTATGGGGCGCCGAAGTTGAATTAATATGAAAAAAATACGCACAGAATCAAGTCATTGACGAGATTAAATACATTTTATTCGTAAACAGTAAGAGTCCTGTTACTCAAAATACATTTGATGAAAACTGCATTGATATACTTCAGTTTAATACAGGACATGTTTTATTAGAAACAATGGAGAGCTATAAAAGAGACCGAAAATCCAGCAGTATCACGTAAATAAAAATCTTAAATGAATGTCAATGATAGCATGACCGGACATAAACCGTGCTCGTAAACAAATCATACAATGAATAATGGATTTCCTGATAAACAGTATCATAGTCCTACTCTATCTCTTTGCAAATTAAAATTTTCTTTCAAATATCTTTTCAAATAAGCCTTTGGCAGCACTTTTACGATCGTGTCACATGGATAAAAACGCGACTTTTCAGTATGCTAAACATTCTATATATTTTGACGTCATTTTCTGATTTATTACGTCATAAAAATTTTAAAGTGACGTCACAACATGTGTATATTTTTCTGATCTTTCCAATGATATCAAAGTCAATAATTTCCGTAAAACGGATTAAACAGTTGCCAGAACTTTTGAAATGCCCCTCGTATACGGTTGAGTACTGATAAAGACAAGAGCTTGAGTAAAAGCCATACCTAATGAAAGACATTTTGTTTAATTAACAACAAACTATCCAGAGTTATTTTTAATTCACTCAGTTTATACATATAAATTAATGTAAGGGTGCAAATTTAGCGACTAGATTTAAGCGGACTACTACAAAACCAAACAATAACCAAAAGTTAACCCACCCCCCAATAAAATTCCCACCATACGGTATTAATATATACATGATATATAAATGTTACTTATGCACTGAAATCAAAACAGCTCGAAATGAAAGATTATATTATTTTCAAATTCATATTAAACCTCAGGGCAGTCTCAACATAACATAACTGCAAACAACATATAAAATCAAATATTAACAGCTGCAAATATTTTTCTTCGATAAACCTACTTGAATGTGTATGAACTTATTTGGTGGTCAGAGGTTATAGCGCGACAGAATCACACGGTCAGATGATAATTTCCCTACATATTACTGTCACCGTGCAACCGGTTTTAGAATATTTCTAAGCTAATAGTGATGAAAAAGATAAAATGATTGCAATATACGGATATTTTTTTTTTTCAATCAAGAGATAAACAATATAGATCTTCTTTCGATGTGAATAATGTTTTGAATGCTATATACGTAATTAGTCTAAAACCGCACTTGTTTTTTTTTTACCCGAATTCCTTTGGAGTGATGTAAACTAAAACAGGCAATGCCACCGCTTTTGACTTCAAATATATTAAGAACTCATCAAATAGTAAGTTTATTCTCAGCATCATCAGATCATTGTTCTTTCATTATTAATGGAGAATTCCCGAACTGAACGATCAATATGAATGTAATCATTCAAATTATAGAGCGAGGTGGACTTTTAAGACCAAACAACCTCTAGATTACTAAATTTTGCGCCACACAACATTGCAATACGGCGGCCCGTTCGTGTAATAAATGCAGTTATACTAGTTTATTCGTCATGTTTGTCTCAAATGTAAATAAAAGTAATAAACAACAATGTCAAAAAGTTCCCTGGGAAATGTACTTAGTTGGTACATGTGCGTGATCAAATCTACCGTGAATATCTTCGAGAATCACAGAATTTGATCATATGACCAATGCAACCAAGTTCATATCCCACAAAACTTTTTTTTAATTGTTTATATTCTAATTAATCATTGGATGAAAGAGTATAAACAGTCTCGTTTAAATCCATAATTTCGTAAGATCTATGGTCGATACAATGACCTTATCAACAAATTCAAATTATCATTGAATCAAATGCTGACTGATGATTCCGATACTAATTATTAGTCTATTAATTACACACTGATTCGACGACGTTTTTTCCAATTATTTCTCGATTATTACATGCATGGAGCACAATGATAAGGCGGATGTGACATGTTGGAAGGTGATGCTCACTCCTTCATGGTACCTGCTTTTTGAAGTCCAGGTTTTCTCTCCTCCTGTCTTATATTGTTTTAAGGACTTTTGAGCTTGAAAAATATTCATTATTTCCTTACATTTATATTTCATTATACAATTGTAAGGAAATAAACTCTATTTCAAATTAATTCCTTCCTCAGACCCATATACGCTGTTGTGAAAATGAAAAGTTTAGTATCTAAGCCGTTGCTTTCATTGTAAATCCGACCGGTCACGTAAGCCTAGTGGTAGATCGTTCTCTTCGTGATCGGGAGGGCTGGGTTCAATTCTCGTTCGAGGCGCCGCATCAAACCTAAAACGTAAACAAAGGTAATGACTGTTCCTCCGCCAAGCGCTCGGGACTAGAAAAGAAAGTCATGGTTCGTTCGGATATGACCTTAAAAACGTTGGTCCCCTCTCACGGTAGGCGTTGGCACGTTAAAGAACCCTCAATGGTCCTGAGTGCCAAGTATAGGTCTAAATTTGTAGCTCTTCGCCGTCAGGTGACGTCTCTATATGAGTGAAAAATTCTCGAGATGGACGTTAAGCAATATTCAATCGATCAATCATTGTAAATCTGACATATTTAGATCTGTTGTTGCACAATGCACCGATATTATTGACGTTCTTACAGAATGCGATATATCACTTCGACAACGATTTTTCACAATCAATTCTCTTATTCCACTTTTGAATTTCGTAATTAATCTGAACACATTACTGCGTGGAGGTCCAGTCTCTCCGGGTCTCGTAACATTTTTATTAGTTCACCAGGTTTTTGAAACAATATTATTCGGTAATTAGAAGTACTTAAATGGTATTTTTCCACTATGGAAAAAGTAAAAACAACTGCTTTATTCTGATATTATGATAAACCTTGTGATGTATTACTAGTTGAACGACCATTGTTGAATCACTTTTAACAGGAAACAGAAGGAAAAGAATGTGACCAATGAAAATAATGGTGATGATTCAAGTGTGGACACAAAGGAAAATAAATCATCTGCATATCTTACGACATCTGACGCTTTGAAGTATGGTCTTTTTTATTGTATTGATTTCATAATTAAAATAAGTAATATTTAGCATTATATTTCATTTTTTTAAAATAGGGAGAAAATATCTAAAAGGGTTTACCATTTGATGTTTTATTTCCATAAGATAGTATGAGAACAATTGATAAAAGATTGAAATGCCATATTATATATGTAAGAATTCGATGTCCTGTAATTGAAATTCAATTTTTAATGACATGCAACAGGGCACATAATCAAACTGCAGGAGCCTTTGGAAAATTCCGCTTGTGTTGTCTGTAATATGATTTAATAAGTTATGTTGTGATGTCATATTATGTGATAATTACGTTATATGGCAGTACCATAAAAATTCTAAACAGTACTTATTTATCTTGTAACACGAATAAAAGTAAATAAAAAGTCATATTCTAGAGTTTTATGGGGATATGTTATGAAATCTATCCTTGATCAAATTTACAACAACGCCCTGTCTGACGTTAAAGAATTTGATCATATTACCGATTTCATGTGATCTTTTTCTAATGGAAGGGTAATGTGCAACTAGAATTCACCAGAACACACAGTATTGTGTATGCCAACTACGGAAGTGCCGTCCTAAACGGGTTAAAATTTTGCAAAGCGTATAGTAAAAAAATGACAGGGTATTTTTGTATAATTTTTACAATTTTGAAAAACTCAATCTCAATGAATTAGAGAATACATTAATTATCTTCTTCAACTAGTGATGTCTAGCACAGTGCATGATATCAGGATATAAAATCGATGAAGTTGTTTAGTTATTTTTTTTTACCTGAATTTGATAATGAAAATTTGTATTCTAATCATTTCAACTACAGTTTGAAAACGAATAAACGATGTTTGTTCTACAGTTTAAAAAATAAGATGTTCGGTATACCAAGGATATGGAGATAAACTAAATTTTGATAAAATGAATGGTTACTTAGTACCATTTTGGTCGGTTTTAATACCAATGTATTCATAGAAAACAAGATAAGTTTGTAAAACACTGATGTTCCTGTTTGTCAACAAAGCAAAGTTTAAACTTTTCTTCAATACAAATTAAGAATATTGGTACCCAACGTAAGGTATTTTTACTAGAAATATAATAGTGAAATGTACGAGCCCTAGCAGCACCTGTTCAAAAGTAATGCTCAAGGATGAGTTTTAGAAACGAAGGTCAAAATTCAGGACAAAGGTCAAAAGAGTTAAAGTTGTTGGTTTTCAAAGAAATATCTTGTCACAAGGATAACATATGTGAAGCCCTTGTTCTCGCCCTTCAAATGTTATGGCCAAGGTTTCAGTATTTTAAACGCAGGTCAAAAATCAAGGTCAAAATCAAAGGGTAAAAGTTAGTTGCATCCATCATTAGTTTCTTCTATAATTGTGAATGTCATGGTCACAGGGTCAGGTGTTCTGGTGTTAGGGCGGGCCTCTACTGATTAGAAAATGCATAGATATTTAATATAGTTGATCAGCAAATTATTCCACCTGCATTCTAATAAATGAAATTATACCAATAAAAGTGGAATCTACATAGGTTCTCAACCCTTTTCACCAGTAAGTACATATTGTGTTGAAAAGAATTTTGAAATAAACTTAAAATTTTGACTTGGTTATGACTTTGCAATATTGGCAGTTACAGATCACCTCAACACTGCAAGTAATTTTACTAAAGTAATATGATATCACGTGACAAGTCTAAATAAAAAAAATTAAAATGTCGTCTACTTGTAGATTTGAACCACATCTCATTTTTCTGATATCAGCAATAAAGTCTTAAAAAATATCCTTCCATTGAAAACTTTGTTTTATTTATCGGAAAAACGCCTATATTTTAATTTCAATTTGTAACCTTAATTCATGGAACTTTGTGTTTTTGTAAAGAGGACATGAGTTCTGTTATTGTCATTTGATACGTTCAACGGTTTTGTATAATATAACTTGCCTATGTCACAATGAGTTACGTCAAAAACGTATTATTCCGCTTGACGTTAACTTTTAAGATGTGTTATATTTGAAGCCTTTTTCAAAAGGAAAAAAATATCTCATTGTCTACATTGATATTAAACCTTAGTGGTTTGTAAAGCGTAAACTGCCCCAAGTTATGTTATATCGTATAACATAAGTTGAAATAAGCTTCATTCCTTAAATAAACAGTATGTTTCATACCTTGGCATTATAACCACACCAACAATTCGCATTGATCAGCGTCAAATCATATGATTATGTTTTAATATTTTTAAACAGAACTGACAGACAAGTGGATAATATAGACTATTTGAAATCCTTAAAATATATCTTGTTATTTGAATTGTTAAGTGCATATACGAATGTTCAACAATGCAAACAGTTTGAAAAGCACAAGTACTACAAAAAGAAAAAAAAACTTTAATGAAAATCGGATACTTTTATTTATGACGATGTAATAATATTTAGTTAGCGATGGAATGTGCTCTAAAGTTTGTGTATAAAAATAGATATATTGAAGACGCTTGTAAATTAAAGTGCATTGTTTTAAATATAAAAAATACTGAAAGATATGGTTACATGTAAATATCATCGCTCACTGGTTGAAGTTTGATTTTATGTGGAAGAAATAGAGTTTGTCAACGAATATGCGTTATCTTGAAATTAGCATAACTTTATATCAATAATATTGATATTTTCATTAATTATTACAGTTTAGAAGAGAACGAACCAGAGAATGGGATAAGTGAAGAGGACGATTCTAATTTAAGTGAAAACACAGAGGACAACAGAGAAGCTACAGATCATGCTATTCCTTCATCTATGTATCTTTTAATGTTACATTGATAATGTATCCTAGAAGAAATGAGATATGGACTTATATTTTAATTAGTCATTTATAAAGAGAAAATGGATATAGAAATGACCTACTTTACTAAAGTTTGTAATAGCAATCAATCATTGATTGAATCGTCATTGAAAGAGATAGAACAGTTTAAGACATACTAGAGAAACACCGACATCTTACGAACGAACGTAACTCGCCCTAACTTCCCGTATCTTGATAGTTTTCTCGGGACCAGTGATTGTACCCATATAAAGTTTAAAATCGGAAGAAATAAGTATATGTGTAAAATAGAACGGAGAGTGTTTTAACCACTTTGTAATTGAAAATTGCTCAAGTCAAATTTATTGTAATCACTTTCTATGTTTTAAAAAAGCGAACAAATAGAAGAAAATACACCATACTACTTTAGACGGATTAGGAAACACGTTTGTCATGCGTCAGTGATTAAACGTATACAAACTACTCGTAGTGTGCGCCTTGTTCATATGGAGAAAGGTTACTTTTTACAGGTTGAAGAAAAAAAATCCGTGCAATCAAGTAAATATGTAGTGCGCTTTATAAAGTGTCTTGTATTGAGATCTAAAGAGAGAGAGAGAGAGAGAGAGAGAGAGAGAGATTCTTTTATAAATTTATTAAAATATCACTTCAAAGAAATAAACGAGGATTCATGTTAGACAGTATCTTTTTAGATGATGTATTAAATGGCGATCATAACCTAATCATCTTGAGCTGCTTTTATTTGAAATATGTAACAGGCATGAAGCAAGCAATATCAGTTGGGGGGGGGGGGGGGCACAACCAAACTTTTTTAGTTTAGAGTCACTACAAAACAATTCCTTGGGAAGCCAAAATGAAAGATTTTTTTATTGAGGTGGCACAAGTATACAGTAGCTAAGTTTTCTAAGATATTACATTAATCGTCAAAATATAAAATTAGAAGATACACTTTATACTTTTGACTGCACAGAGTTATTTTGACCGAAGGTCCAATATACACTTAAAAACGTTTAACTATAACCGAAATTATAACTCGCTTCATTTGTAAGGAAAAATATATATTTACCGTCCTGTTGTAACAGAAAAAAAATGATTCCAGAATACCGACAAAAAGATACCGGACTTTTAAAAGTGTGAATAATATGAAAACGTAGTTGTCACTTAGTTGTCATGGCATCCTTCAAAAGTATGTGCACACATATGCTTATCACAAGTGCTTGTAGACCAAACAACTTCCCCACCCCAATCCCCAATATACATACCGTGTCGCAAGATATTTATATTTGTCTTATTTCATAAATCAACCGTCTAGTACATATTTAAATTGTACAATGTATTTCATATGAAAAATCCAAAAAGTACATAGAATTCACTTTTTATTTAAAAAAAATCGTGCCCGTAGTATCTTAAATCACCTCTGACTTTTTAACTGCAGGTATCAATTTTGTATGTTGTAAATTGTAAAATTTATGTTATAAATGAAAGAAAGCAAAAAAAATGTCTTTGGACCCGGATTTATATATATTCCAGGGGTTGGGTGAGGGGGTGGGGTGGGCATCGGTCCTATGATGGTTTGCTAATATTGAACTAGCTTGCTCTTATATATATATATCTTAAATTATGTCAAAAACACAATTCACTAAACTTCCATTTTTGTGCCGACCTGTCCCCCTCACCGAAAGTTGGGGATATTAATTTCAGTCTGCTCGTTCGTCTTATAATTCTGTTAAGTAAGTCTGTTACACTTTTGTTTTGAGAAGTTTTGGGTCTGGGACGTTAAGGGGGGGGGGGTCCAGTCCACTTGCACCCGTGAAAATTATATAAAGATTTTTAAGACACATGTTTGTACATGTAAGAAGAAGCTTTATCAACCGACAAATTACGAACGGGCATCCCCCTGGATCTATGATATGGCTATAATACCTGTGTATTAAAGCCATATTAATGTTATTTTCGCAGCATATAGTACAAGATTTCTTTTACGTTTTTGGGTTCTTGCAATTTAATTTTAGACCATAACTCCTTTTTGTCCCGACCGCCCTTTGTAAAGTACCCCCTCCCCCTTTCGACCCCTACTAGAGCCGAACATACTATTATTTTTTATTTCATGCCATAGAATGACATTTTTAAAATTTTTCTTTCATTTCCCTTTTCGAACCCCTTTGCCCGTTTAAATGTCCATTGAAATGTATTGTAGCGTCACGGTAGCGACTACGACAAGACGTGTATTTGAGGCATCTTGAGGGGATTTTTTCTATCGAAATCCCAATAAGATTGAAGAATTCAGTAATCCAACCGTGAATACAATAGACTGATCCCCGTTTTTGGTTACGTTCGTTTGTAAGATGTCGGTGTTTCTCTAATATGGTTGTTACAAATCGATTGTTCAAGAAAAATATTACACCATGTTTATGCTAATCATCCTTAAATAAAAAAAATGCATCCTTTCTTCTCTGTACTTACAGTTTTGAGACGGAAGACTCAGAGAATGAGATAAGTGAAAATGACGATTCCGATTTAAGTGAAAACACGGAGGACTACATTGAAGCTACAGACCGTGTCACTCTTTCAACGTATGTTCTTTTCCATGATAATGGTCTACTCAAGATGCAAAGATATAATGTTAACGTAGATTTTATCAAAATCATTTTGTAGAAAAGAAACCGCAGCATAAAAGTTCATTCAATGTTTATATATACACATTATAATAAAGATGATTTGGAGGTAATTATGTAATTATGGCTCCTCCAGAAGGAAATCGCGGGGCAATTGGTCAGTTTGTAAAGTGTTAATTGCTGTTTTCAAAATCATACCTGTTACCCCGACTGTCCTGTGATGTTAAATGATTTAAAAAACATCACCGTTAACCCTTTTAATTAGTATGTCTATATTTTGCCGCTATCTTTTAAATTAAACAATAAGAAAGAACAAAGTTAGAGTTCGGACAAAGTTTTGATTATGGTGACAATGCAGAATGAACTTCTATAATTTTTTTTGAAAATTATCCATGTTTGATTTCTCAGGCACAATTCTTACTTTTCGTTATTTTTTTTTTCAAATATTGAAATTAAAAAAAATTAATTTTATAAATAAAATTCCCCGATCAAGATTGATAAACAGAATGTAACTTCTAACGCATTTTATAGCCTTCTTGTGTATTTGAAAAAAAAATGTTAAAATGTATATCACTTGATACAACTAACCGGTTAATCGGTCGGAACGTCTTGCGGTTAACCGATTAGCAATTCTGCAATCGATTGCCGATTTAATAAGGGCATCTCTTCCGAAATTGTGAATTTCGTGGCCCTAGATTCAGGTGATCTGGTTTTAGGTCGGGCCGGGCTCTAATAACTATATAGTGAAAATACATTAATTCTTTAAATATCTTTTCCTTTGTTCCTGGGTATAATGCCAATTTTATGATGAAGAAAGCTGCCTCTTCCAGAACAATTAATTTCATGACCCGTGGGTGAGGGGTACAGGCGGGAAGGCTATTCTAAAAATATGATGTAATGCTTTTAAATCTGCTCTTTGGTATTATATCAACCATTTATGGTGCGCAAAGGGGAAAACCCCTAATAAAAAATACTATAGTTAACTAAAGTGTCAAAGTTTTCGCCAAAGATTTTCAAAGTATCAAAGTTTTCGATAAAGTTTTACAAAGAATCAAACTTTCTGATAAAGTTTTTCAAAGTGTCAAAGTTTTCGCCAAAGTTTATCAAAGTGTCAAAGTTTTAGCCAAAGTTTTCCAAAGTGTCAAAGTTTTCGCCAAAGTTTTTCAAAGTGTCAAAGTTTTTGATAAACTTTTTCAAAGTATCAAAGTTTTTGATAAAGTTTTTCAAAGTATCAAATTTTTCAATAAAGTTTTACAAAGAATCAAAGTTTTTGATAAAGTTTTTCAAAGTGTCAAAGTTTTCGATAAAGTTTTTCAAAGTATCAAAGTTTTCGATAAAGTTTTTAAAAAGTTTTCGATAAAGTTTTTCAAAGTATCAAAGTTTTTGATTAAGTTTTTCAAAGTATCAAAGTTTTCAATAAAGTTTTACAAAGAATCAAAGTTTTTGATAAAGTTTTTCAAAGTGTCAAAGTTTTTGATAAAGTTTTTCAAAGTATCAAAGTTTTCAATAATTAAAAGTTTTTCAAAGTGTTAAAGTTTTTCGATAAATTTTTTCAATGTATCAAAGTTTTCGATAAAGTTTTTCAAATGTTTTTGATAAAGTTTTTCAAAGTATCAAGGTTTTCGATAAAGTTTTTCAAAGTATCAAAGTCTTCAATAAAGTTTTACAAAGAATCAAAGTTTTTGATAAAGTTTTTCAAAGTTTCAAAGTGTTCGATAAAGTTTTTCGAAGTGTTAAATTATCCAAGTTTTCGATAAAGTTTTTCAAAGTGTCAAAGTTTTCGATAAATTTTTTCAAAGTGTCAAAGTTTTCTATAAAGTTTTTCAAAGTATCAAAGTTTTCGATAAAGTTTTTCAAAGTATCAAATTTTTTGATAAAGTTTTTCAAAGAATCATAGTTTTCAATAAAGTTTTTCAAAGTGTCAAAGTTATCACTATAGTAAATCAAAGTTTTCAAAGTGTCAAAGATATAACTATAGTTAACTAGTAAACCATAGTTAACTAGTAAACTATAGTTAACTAGTAAACTATAGTTAACTGTAGTTAACTATAGTATTTTTTGTTAGTGAAAGTTTGAAATATTTGACCTCAGGGTCAGTGGTTCCCGTAGTGTGTGGTGCAAGACTTAGTATAACGATAAATGCATTCATTTTTGTTAAGCTGATCAACCTCTGGGTGGTATTTAGTAACCAAAGTAAGAATAATAATAGGATAGGTATGATTAGCAGTGGTGCCTCTTTAAAAAGTGTGAATATCGTGGCTTCTGGTAGAAAACATGAACCAAATTCAGTTGTTAGAAAATTTTTGAATGATACTCTGGTGACCACTAAGTTCCTTGAGCCTCTTACAAAAAATATTTCATTTATATAAATTATTCTCAATTGATTCTGCATAACAAATATTTTGATTTACAATACGTACATAGAAAATCATTTATATTGACAGAAACATCATTATCCGCCAAAGTAATTGACAACCTTCGAACTTGGCTGGATTTATATAGTCCGAAAAGATACTACTTTTGTGATAGTCATCCAGTGAGACAGTTTTACAAAGAAAAATAATGAAAAGGATTGAAACACTGGGTTTTGAAAATATGTTCATTTTCTATTTTCAGGTCAGATGCTGACAATTCTGATGAATTATCTTTGTGATTATATATTATTCAACATGACATATCAAGAAGAGCGCCCTTTAACAACCGGAAGTGGACAGTAGAAATACGGAATCAAAGTTTTAGAATTTAACGATTTAAGTTTTAGCCTGTCGTTTTCAAAAATTACATGTCGCTTTTCATCACTTTTTGCACCTTTTTTACTATTAAAATTATACTGAAGTTCATTTCATTTTAAACAAAGAATACAGAAAAAATAGTGGTTTGAAGAAGCATAGAGTGGATTTATCTTAAACTACATTTTTAAACCAGGCAACTCGTTTGTTTCCTTGCATTTACCATAAATATATGTATTTTTAGAATCATATGTTTAATAGAAATATTACAAAAGACAAGAGGCATTAGGAAGTGATTATATTGAACACATAATTTGTACTATAAAAAAACATAGAAGAAATTGAATGTTACCAAATAATATCATGTGCATCCTATATATATATATATGTAACTAGCACTTTTTAAAGTTTATTTGTGCCTGTTCAGTCATAGTTTTAATACCAAGTCAATATGCAAGCTTCAATTGAATAGACGTTACAGAGAAATGATTCTTTATAGTTAAATATCTTGCCAATTACTGTTATATTTAAGATTGTTATACCTTGATTTTATGTAAAATAAATAGTATCTATTTTAAGAATGTACGAATCGTTAATGGGATTTTGTGGATTTTCAGAATATTAGACAAAATATGCTTTTTCTCTCTGAGCATTTAAAAAAAATAATTTTAATTAAAAAAACTTTTCGGGTTATGAACTTTTTGTTATTCAAAGCTGAGCATTCACTGGAATGAGCCTACACCTGTGTTGACGAAGGTATGCAAATATCTTGGAAGTGACAAAAAATTCCGAGCACTTTTTCCGAGCCAGGGAAGAAATACAGCAAGGAGATTTACATCAGTTGCACAAATTAATACAGTATATAAACATGCACATACACACTTAACTGCAATAAGATGTAAATAAAAGGCAAAGACCAATACCTGTGACAATAAAGCAATCAGGTGTAGCAATTAGAAAGGTATATCTCAGTGCTGATATAGTAGATGTTTACGAGTCCTCTTCAGCTTTAATAAACAGAATATCTTCATCAGAGGATAAAACCCTAATTGTATTTCCTTCTGCATCATAGATATAAAAGAAAAACAACATACCAGAGTAATGTAAACCTACAGGGTTTAGAAAGGACATATAAGCTTTATATTTTAAACTTGGAATTAGTATATATGGGTTTTGTTAGTTAAAATTGAATTTATTAGTAATAGTAAAATAAACCGATTAACAATATCGATGTATTAATTACAGTTGTTTGTTAAGTGGAAGTGAAGAGTTTAATTTCATTACTATATTGTTAGAAGAAATAAAATTTATTATGCTGATAAAATGAACTATAATTTTGTAAATTCTTTCGTAACAAAATGATTAGAATACACTTATCAAAACACTTACACTAAGTGATGTAATAGTAATTTAATATAAATGTATTATGCATACATCAAAACAATCTAATCACAAACTTTGTGTAGCGATCAAACTGGAGTGGATCAAAGATTTAATTTTAGATTAGATTGTCGCCAAAACATGAACGCGAATCCACATTTTGATATCGTTCTTTAATTTTAGTTTTAGATTTGTAAATAGTTGCTTTATATAAAATTGTAAATAGAAAAATAATCATGTTATTAATGATCCAGCCTAGGTTGTCGTGAAAGTCTCTTCATTTCACAATTATATACATCCCTAGTAAGAAGTTCTGCAAAAAAATATGCTAAAAATCAGGGATTCCGTAAAAGAATACAGAATTGCTAATCGGTAAACCGCAAGACGTTCCGACCGATCAACCGGTTAACCGAATTCAAAATAAGAATTCAAAATACGCATTATATTGATGTACCTATCTCTTTTGTTACGTAGATCTATTCATTTATTCAAGAAGGCTGATAAAGTCTGGATGTTATTTGTTTTGATTCTTGTTTTAAAAAAACTTGAAGCTTATATAGTTCATTTTAGTTTCAATATAGACTGTAAAAAATAAATTATGAAGACCATCAATCGTGTCTGAGAAATCATAAATACTTTCCAATGCAGATTTCACATAAATAATTCATTCTGTGTTGTCACCATAATTAAAACTAAGTATAAAATACATCTCTTAATTTACAATGTTTGTGTAAATAATTCGATAGAATAACTAAAAAACAAAAACCCCCCATCATCATCGTCAGGAAACCGAAAAATCTGACAGTTATTCCTTATATTTACATGCTACATGTATTTATTTAGCCAATC